AGGAGAATCTATTAACTATTTAGGTTATAAAATAGACACTCAGAAAATTAGACCGCAGAAAGTACAGCTCAGAAGAGATCATTACCGGACTCTTAATGATCTTCAAAAACTATTAGGAGAAATCTTTCAGTTACAGACAATTATCGGTGATAAGGGCATGATTTAAAACACCTGAAAAGGGGCTGGAGAGATGGCTCAGAGGTTAAGAGCACTGACTGTTCTTCCAGAGGTCCTGAGTTTAATTCCCAGCAACCACATGGTGGCTCACAACCATCTACAATTCAGTCTGGTGCATGCTCTCTTCTGGCATGTAGACAAACTGTATCTGTAATAAATAAATAAATCTTTAAAAAAATAAAAAATAAAACACCTGAAAATGGCTTTAAAGGAGATAGAGACCTAAAGAGCCCATGAGTACTATCAGCTGAAGCTGAAAAAGAATTAGAATGGGTAGAAAAGAGAATATTAGAAGCACATGTAGACCGTGTGGATCCAAAGCTAGAGTGTATTCTGGTTATTTTACCATCTAGACAATACCCCTCAAACCGGGTGTTAGTGGTGCACGCCTTTAATCCCAGCACTTGGGAGGCAGAGGCAGGTGGATCTCTGTGAGTTCGAGGCCAGCCTGGTCTACAAGAGCTAGTTCCAGGACAGCCTCCAAAGCCACAGAGAAACCCTGTCTCGAAAAACCAACTTAACTATTTTTTTTTTTTTGGTTTTTTCGAGACAGGGTTTCTCTGCATGTTTTGGAGGCTGTCGGGCCAGCCCAGCCTCAAACTCAGGGATCCACCTGCCTCTGCCTCCCAAGTGCTGGGATTAAAGGCGTGGCTACAACTGCCCGGCTCCCAATGATTTATAACAGAATATCTGACTGCAAAGCTATATGCAAAGTGAAAACCCTCAGAATTTGTAAAAGGGTTATGAAAATATATGACATGTCACATTTTAACTTCTTTACTAAGGACAAAGTTATAACAATAAAAAATTTGTACAATATTTGTGAAAGAATGAAAGCAATTAGGAGAAAAAGCTAAAGACAAAAGCAGAAAAGTATTGTTAAACTTTAATTTAAAAACCAAAGAAAACTCAGCAAGGAAAACAGTGATCTTGCCCAATGTTATGAAGCAACATAATATTCTTTGTTTAGAGAAATTAAACATACACAGACTTTGCAACTTCCCCAAATTAATGCAAAGTGAACCTTAGATTGTTATGTTTCTGATCCTACAGCTATTGACATTTGAAGGGATCCATTTCAAGAGCTCTCTGCAAATGGAGGGGATCTTGTGCTATAGCTCCACAAGTTCTCATAGCCCTTTATAATTTCAGTCCAACACTGCCCTACTAATGCCCAGTCATAAAACAGTGTAGAAGGAAAATTTTATCTCTATTTCCTTTCATATGGATTATGGTAGGTGACGAGGAGTCTTCCCTTTCTACCTGCTCAAACACCATGCACACCTGAAAAACCTCTGCATCTCAGAACATTTTTTCTCCCCTGGAATTGAATGAGCTTCCCTGAATCAAGCCATTATAGCTGCTGGTAGCAGAAACTTAAAAATTATTCTGATCATGTATTGCTGAAGGATGATCACTATCACCCCTTTCTACCAATTACTAAATTACCTGTAACATTTAAGCATGAGTCTGAAAGTGGAATAGAACATTCATAATTCTACAAACTAGATTTTCATGTTTCCAATCTGTCTTCCCATTGTACACCAAAAGAGATGCCTCTTTGTGTACACTGGACAGTGATATTATATGCATCATAGACTCTGATAACCAGTGCTATAGAACCTCCCACTCTGCAAGGAATCCACATGAATCAAAAACACTCACAGTCTGGTGGTTTATTCCAGTCCCATCAACTGTGACAGCTTATCAACAGCTCCTCCTACTCTGTGAGGGTGAAGACACTGAACACATACTCATCAAGACATGGTTTGTGGTTTCCCTCACGGCTTCCTGTAGGTGTATCACAGGAGATCCCGAAAAAGAATCTGCAAGTTACCTTCCATTGGTGCTCCTGATTGCTAAGCCTTCCCAGAGTAACATGGTAGATAGGGCCCAGCTGTCTGGGCCTCAGGGAATTAGCATCTCCCCTACTGAATGATCAGAGATCAAGGGACTCAGATAGCACAGCCTTACCAGCTCAGCCCTTCCAACCCAGCAGACAGACCCCTAGTGCAGGGCATGGTGTTTTACTAGAAATTCTTGTATCCCCACAGCACTTCCTGTTCCTCTTCCAAGGCACAGCATCCTTTGTGTGCACATTCCTTTACCTATTCAGGGTTCAGCATAGTCTACCCATTGTTCCAGAGCTGTGAAGTCTTAGAGATAAGCAGATGTTGCATTCCAACAACAACCGTGGTTATTGCTTAACTGTTGTTAAAATTAAAAGAGGCCATGAATGAGAACAACGGAAGAGTTGTGGTAGGACTTGGAGGCAGGAAAATGACTGTGTACTTGATATAAATAAAATCTCCAAGAATTGTTTTCGTGAGTTAAAAGGCTTCACAGTCATGCACTCAAGAGAGTAGGGATTTATATGATAGCATACCAAAGATTACTCATACCATTTCTATCCACCAGAGCAACTTAAACAAGGAAAATAACAGTTTGTTAGAAAGTGCCATAACATTTTACCCAGACCTTCCTCTTTGGTTGGACTAGGGTAAATGCAATAATTTGTTTCCATCATAATGTCAGTTGTCTATCCAGAAGCTTGATTGCTTTGGTGTGTAGCCCCCAAGAAATGGTCAGAACATTTGTTGATGCTCTAAAATTTAGTACATAACTCCACACTGCTAATATTAATTATTGTCAAAGCAGAAAAGCTCTCACCTTGCTGGCTGCCTCTTCCTTTCTGTGCACCATCAGTACACCAGGTTCAAAGCTGTTCAATGAGTTAAGTACTTGCACACATCCCTTCATTTGTAATTTCCCAATACAAGTCAGAGAGATTAGAGAACACTCACCCACTCATCTCTTTTCCTTCTTACTGACCACTCAAGGCTCAGTAAGGATTCCCTTCCCAGCAATGGCCAGCAGAGGCAGGGTTAGGTGTTCAAAGCAATTCTCAATTACATAGTTGTGAAGTAAGCCTAAGATACAGGGAATATTGCTCAAACAGAATTAAAAACTAGCAGCAATCGAGAGAAAAGGAATCAAACTATGAATGATCTCTTATCTGACAGAGAGTCACAGGCAATGGTCTGTTTTTCAAATCTCTGAGTTGATTTAACTGTGTCAAGCAGGACTAAACATACATGCATAGGGGAGTTTGCTATGGGGATTCAATATCCAATGGCTCTAGCCAACCTTATCACACTGTATACCCACTAAGCTGTTTTGTCTTCATTTGCATGGCATGAATTCATACATGCTGTGAAATTACAAAATCACTTCTGCCTGCCAATCATGTCCCTTTTCACAATGGTGACTCTAGCAGGTGATTGCCTACCATGTTTCCCTCTGCAGTTTACACAATGAATTATTGTGCCTAGACTTGTCTGAAGGCAGAAATCATGGTCCACTTGCAATTCCTTTTCCTGAGACTACAATGGGTAGAGGAATACATGACTCAAATGGGTAATTTTAAAACTCTGAAGTAGCACAGTCATTTAAGAATTTTAAAGATGCAATATAGGACAGCAATGTCATTGACCAGGAGAGCCACAGAATGGGATTAAGGTCACCAAGGTGGACATAATAGAGCTTGTCTCAAAGCCATTTTTCTAAAAGGCTGGAGGTACACTAGTTTTAGAATTAATACACATTTCCAAGGAGAAATTACTCAAAAATTTAGGATATTAATGAAGAAAAATCTCTATACTGACAGCATGCATACTTCTCTTACTAATTCTCAAAGAGGAGAGAGCCTAGAAAAGATTTACACTGCACATATGCTGTCATCCTTAAGTCTCTTAGGTTAAGGCTTCAAGTAAAACCTTTAAATAGGGACAGGAGACTGCAAGTCTAGCCACTTACGTAGTTGGGATACTTAAATACCAAAGATACTCCAAGAATTATTCCTTAAGTACACCAGTGACCTGAGAGTGCGGGCCATTCTCCAGGGACACAGTCCTTAAGGGCAAGCACCAGGGGATGAGAGAGATGAAAAGTAGAAGGTAAAAACAAATAAAAGCTGGGTAGGGGAGGTCTCACACAAGCTTGTGTCATGCCAGGTAAGCTTCTTTAAAAGTTAGCATGTTGTACACTACTTCCAGAGGGGAAATGGGAACTTCTATGAGGTCAGCAGAAACTGACACGCAGTGGGACCAACTCAGCAGAAGGACAACCAATCAATGCTACACAAGGGAGCACAGGGCTTCCCAAGAATATTACTGACTTAGCCCCGTGGCTTTTGAACTGATAATCACAGTTCCATGTGGTTGGAAGACTTGGGTTCTCAGGATGTGAATCAAGCCCACCACACAGGTCCTGACCCTAAACCATAACCAGCTCTTGCAAGAACAATCCTGGTGTTAGAAAAGGAGATCTATTTCATTTTCAGTGCATCAGGCTCTTACGAAAAGCTCCCAAGGCCTAAGACCCAGGCTGTTTCAGGCACTACTAATCCTGTTCCAGGGTTTGAGAAGGAGCTGTGTTTCTTCTCATTACAGGAGGGCCTCACAGATGACCTTGATTCCTCAGGTCAGCCCCAACACAACAGTGTGTTTCCTTTTCACATGGTTGTCACCTGGTATCTTTCCATATGAAAGAAATATGCTTTCTAAAGGAGAAAGCTAGCAGGACTTGATGACTTTGACTGCAAAAATATTTCTACACACAGCTCTCTGTGTATAGTGCAGCTTACAGAGTGAAGATATTCAGTGGCATCCACCTGCATCCAGGGAGTTCTAAGGACCACATGGGATTTCCCCGGACACCTAATCTAGCCATAGGTCCACATGCATTTCCAGGGAAGACTTCACACACCAGCTTTCAAGGCTCAACAATTTCTTCCTTTCTGAGTCCCACAGCCCATAGCTCACCTTGTCAGGTCTTCCCGACTCGGCCATGCTTCCTTCACAGCTCCCTGCAGCAGTGCTCACAGCTCACAAAACCACTGGTCGTGCTCCACTACAAATCCAAGAATTCAACATGGCACCCGGAAGAGCGGTGGATTCTCCTGACTGGCAGGTTTGTGTGATGGTCCTGATTGGCTAGTGAAGCCTAAGTGACAGCAGCACCTCCCTTAAGGTAACAATGTGCTTACAGTGAGAAACCCAAAGAATTTTTCCAGATCTGCAGAGATTTGCATTCCAATAGTGCTTCCTTAGGCTGCAATTGGTGACCTTGCTAACTTTACATTGTAAGTCAATATCATGCAGGGCTTTGGTGGTGCATGCCTTTAATCCCAGCACTCGGGAGGCAGAGGAGGGTGGATCTGTGAGTTCGAGGCCACCCTGGTCTACAATGTGGGTTCCAGGACAGCCTCCAAAGCCACAGAGAAACCCTGTCTCGAAACAACAAAACAAAAAAAAAAGACAGTATCACGTGTATCAAATATAGGAACATACAGCTGAAAATAATTATGTTTTCATGTTTGAGATAGGATCACATTCGAAAACCCCAGCTTGCCTGGATCACACTCTGTTATGTTCAATGAGCAATATATATTGAGATTTTTTTTTTGGTTTTTGTTTTTTTGTTTTTATGAAACAGGGTTTCTCTGTATTGTTTTGGAGGCTGTTGGTCCAGCCCAGCCTCGAACTCACAGAGATCGCCTGCCTCTGCCTCCTGAGTGCTGGGATTAAAGGAGTGTGCCACCACCACCTGGCTATATTGAGTTTTTTAAAACAATCCCAGTATATATTTCATTCTAAAACATTTGGCTCAACAGGGCGGTGTCAGGGCAGGCCTTTAGTTCCAGCACTTGGGAGGCAGAGGCAGGAGAATCTCTGTGAATTTGAGACCTGCCTGGTCTAGTTCTAGGACAGCTTCTAAAGTTACAGAGACACCCTGTCTTGAAAAAAAACAAAAATGAACAAACAAACTAACAAAAAAGGAAACAACAACAAAGAACAACACATTTGGCTCATTATTCAATGTACCACATTTTTCTATACAAGCAGGAGCACCCAAGCAATTTTCTTTATATTTACTTATTTTGGAAGAGAGATGGAAGTGGGAGAAATTTTACAGAGGTTACACTCCAGGTGTTTTCCCTCATCCCATTTATCTACACAATATTAAGTTTTTCTTGAACAATTCATTCTTTAACTTTTTCATCGGTTTGTCTGTAAATCAACCTGTTTGCACATTTTCTTTTAAATTAAGACCCCCAGTGTAGAAGTCAAATCAATACGTTCTAAGGTAAACATTCTAGCTTTCAGCAACCCAATGCATTTTTAAGAATGTTTTTCTAAAATTGCTATAATTTTTTTCTTTTTCTCTTTTAGACAGGGTTTCTCTGTGGCTTTAGAGGCTGTCCTGGAACTAGCTTTTATAGACCAGGTTGTCTTTGAACTCACAAAGATCCACCTGCATCTGTCTCCTGAATGCTGGGATTAAAGGTGTGTACCACCTACCCCCGGCTGTTATAATTGCCTTTTTTGAAGACGGTAATTTTTCTAATTTTGCACTATTATAGTATGTTTGCTGTACTATCAAACATTGAGTTAAATAGCCTTTATTGTATGTTACATACAATAAGGACTGACAATACTGGAGTCCTAGGTGCTGTGGGAAGATGTTCTTGTATACTGTAAAGATTTGTCACTCGTGCCGGGCGTTGGTGGCACACGCCTTTAATCCCAGCACTCGGGAGGCAGAGGCAGGCTGATCTCTGTGAGTTCGAGGCCAGCCTGGTCTACAGAGTGAGTTCCAGGACAGCTTCCAAAGCCACAGAGAAACCCTGTCTCGAAAAACCAAAAAAAAAAAAAAAAAAAAAAAAAAGATTTGTCACTCGTATTGGTTTAATAATAATGCTGATTGGCCAGTAGCCAGGCAGGGAATATAGGTGGGACAAACAGACTAGGAGAATTCTGGGAAGAGGAAAAACAGAGATGCAGGGGTCAGCCAAACACAGAGGAAACAAGATGCCTTACTGAGAAAAGGTAACAAGCCATGTGGCTAAACATGATAGGAATTGTGGGTTAATTTAAGTTGTAAGAGCTAGTTAGTAATAAGACTAAGAAATAGCGGCCAGGCGGTGGTGGTGCACGCCTTTATTCCCACCACTCGGCATATGCACACTCTGATACCAGCACATACAAAATACTTTTTAGACACAAATAAATGCCATTGAGGTCACTAACAGCCAGATGAATTTGTGGGTTTCATCTCTAGAACTCACATAGGAGAAGTGGACAATAGCCCCCTGTCATCTCGCTGCCACACTGGCACAGGTATATATACATGCAAGCATAGTTAAAACATTTTTAAATGGATGAAGTTAACAAAGCAAAGAAAATAGGCCAATTATTGAGAACAGATGAGATGATTTGTCAATTTAAATTATTATTATAAAATTTCAAGAACTATTAATGCTCATCAAAATATTAATGGTTCCTTTTTAAATCTTATTTTATCATTTAATTCTCTGATTCTGTTGTGCCCAAATTCTGAACACCAAAATCACCAAGAGGCCCATTTCTATGCAAAAGCAAAGAGTCACTTATTGTACTTGTTTAATGAGCTAACCCCATTAGTTTGGGCCTTTCATCCTTTCACTGAAGCAAATGGCTAGAGAAAGATCCAGAGAAAACACAAGGCTGGGATACTAAGGGACAGTGTAAGGGGAGTGTCTAAGGGTATGCAACAATCTCAGGATTGGTGCTCTTCCAGGTTTGGACGACCTGCCCTGTGTTGATTGGTCAACTGGTTGTTATGGCCCATAGGCCCACCCATAGCAGTTGCTATGCTCTGTGTATCACTGTTGTGCACTTGTCCGTAAACCACACCCAGAGCCATAAAGCACAGCCCCGCCAGCTAACTTCAGATTGGTTCCTTACCACAGGGTTTCTGACCTCCTAGTGACCAGGATAGGAGGGGCAAGGTCATGCAAGCACATGTTAGCCTGTCATGGCTGATAAACTAGGGGAGGGGGGTGCTGGCCACTTCAATTCAAAGATAAGTCATTTTAAAAACATTTCTCAGTTGAGCTTAGAGGTGTATGTGTATAATCCCAACTCTTGAGAGACAGCGGAATGTCAATCTCTCTAAGTCTGAGATCAGCCTGATTCACATAGTGGGTTCCAGGAAAGCCATGGCTATGTAGAGATATCCTGTCTCAAAAAAAAAAATCCAAAAAGAAAGCAAATTTCAAATGATGAAACATTTTCTAATATGATGTGACTGATTTAACAAAAGCTTTTGTTATCTTTAGTCACATTATGAAAACTTTGTTTACAATGAAACTATGAAGCAATGTGGCAAGTCCATTCACAGAGGAATAGAAAGCCTGAGTCCTTTGACAACGTTCTCACAGGGCCTTTCACTTTTAAGTGACAGGAGTCAGAAGGAGCAATTAGGCATCTTCATCTTCTGCATTATAATGACGTGTTGGGAGCTGGAGGGCTTGCTTGTTCAATAGTACTGCTCCTCTTGGGTACCCAAGTTTGGTTCCTGTCACCCACATCAGTTAGCTCAGAGCTACTTGTATTTCCAGGTCCAGGAGATATGATGCATTTCTCGGGCCTCCTAGGGCCCCATATGTGCAGATGGTGAAAATTCAGATATAAATGTGATTCTGTATTAAAAAAATCTTTTCTTTGTGTACATGTTATTTTCAAAAAGAGTGATATTTAATTTAGGTATATAAGTTTTTCCAGCGCATGTAAGGTACCCATGGTAGTCACAAAAGAGTATCTGATTCCTTGTGTGTGTAGTTACACATAGTTTTGAGCTGTCTTGTGGGTGTGGGAGTCAAAGTCAGGCCCTGTGGAGGAGCAGCCAGTGCTCTTAGGTGTTGAGTATCTGTTCAGCCACATGAACATGCCAGTCATTAGAGCAGTAAGGTGTGAATGGGTGAGCCTGAGTTCATCATTACCTCAGCTCTGATGACCCAGAAGAAATACAAGATTCATGCCATCGGAAACCCATTTAGCCATGGTGCTTTAAGAAGTTTCTGAGCCCAAGTCTCCACAAAATGAGGGAATAGTGTGAAAAATGATCAGGAATGAAACTTGCAATACAAGTCTTTAGAAAGTGGCTGCCTGCTTGACCAAAGCCACAAGGCTGATTACCTCAGTGTGGTAAATAGGCAGCAATGGGAGCCAACAAGTTCACCTGTCATTGTAGTCCTGCTGGAGTCCATGCCTCCTGTGAGCACAGAAAAAGGAACTTGCAAACATGAAGACTGACTTGTCTGAGCAGAGTCACAGTCTGCTTCCCTGATTCTGCCAAGCCTTCAGTTAGGAACCCTGGAAGCTGCTGACTCCTGGAGACACCTGGTTGTCAGAAGATCCTGAGACTTAAAAGGAAGTCACCCTAAGTCTGGGACAGGTAGGCATTTAAAAAGACGGGTGGGGTTTGGAGGAGTTGTTAGAGAGGGAGCTCTGGTCTGAATGCCAAAGGTTTAAATGGGCAGAGAGCAGGCCTTGGGGTTTACCTGAGGACAAGCTGGCTCCCACCGTGCTCTCTGTAGGAACTCACTGCACCTGTGGCAGGACAGCTCCCTCCAGGTCTCCTTCCTGAAGTTTACAATATAGTTAAATAGAACTGCTCATTTTACTCATTCTGTCATTCTAAAGTGTCACTAAATGAAGTTGAAGCCACCCAAGCCAGGGATGGTGGCACAGCCCTGTAATCAGGGAACCTAGGAAGTGGAGGCAGGAATTTCAGAATTTTGAGGTCATCCAAGGTGAAAACCGTCAATGGGGTATGGCATGAGGCCCACGGAACCGAGGATGGCTGTGATTGGCTCAGACCAGTGTTCCTAGTCTTCCCTGCAGCTCCTTCAGGGCCATGACACCAGCAAGTGGTAGCTGAGGCGTTTACACCCCAGGTTTTCCGTTCTTGATAATGTTTCCTTTCCACGGCAGCCTGGGTCACTTCAAGGTCAGACTCCTGTTACTCATTAAATGGGGAAATTCTCCTGCAGGTGGGAGAATTAGCTTCAGGCAGGGAAGAGATCCCTAACTGTTTATCAAGTTCAGTGTGTTCAGCCCTGAAACCACATACACACTCAGCCAACAGAAATGGACTCAGCAGGTTTTATTCATGTATCTGTGCATTCGTATTCACACACATCAAACAAGGAAGAAATTGGGAAAGGACAGGAAAGAGAACAAGGAAGGGGGGGAATGTTGTAATATATTTTAATTAAAGTGTATGAAAATACATTTTAAATTAAAAACCAGTAAGAGAGACACCTTAGCAGTTACCATCACTGGATATTGTTACAGAGGACAATCATCTGCCAACACAAGGCCAAAGG